GGGTATCAGTTATTATATTATATTATTATTATAATATTAATTTATTATATTAATTTAAACAATTATTATCAAACAATTACTTAACCTGCGTGTATATCAAAGTGTGTGTTTTCTGTGTAAAAATAAGGGTCGTTTTTGGCTTTGGACTAAAACTAAAAGCGGAAGGGCTTATTGAAATGTATTCTCTCTTCATTCTTTAACTTTACGCCAGGAATTAGAGGTCTGCGCGGGACTGTTTTTTTTAGTCCCGCTCTCGCAAGGTTCTATCCTGCACCCACCCGCTCCTGCTATTTATTCACTCTTTGTTCACCCGCTGTCCCCTTAGAATAATTTTCTTCCCGACCCGAACATTCCCGCTAAATTTAGATCTCGTTTCCAGAATCTCACATTTAAATTTCCGCTACTGAAAGAAAGAGAGATAGGTTGACAAATAAAAGTGTAGTCTGCACAAAATTGTATGCTATTTTATTCGTCTTGTCAAGAGTCTTGAATTTATTGACTTTAACTTGAAATTATATAAATTATCTTAAGACACAAAATTTGTTTCATATTTTATGCAACACAACAGGAAAAAAAGTGTCAGAGAAAATAAAAATGTTGTACAAAAATTGTATTTCTTATTTGTATTCGTCTTGTCAGGATACAATTCGTTTAACATTGACAACACAATAGGGAAAAAGTGTCACAGAGAGAAAATATTTTTATTCGTCTTGTCAAAATACTAAATTCGTTTGACATTTTTCTGTTAACACAGTAGGAAAAGCGTCACAGATAAATAAAAAAATACGACATCTTTCATTTAAAATTATAGGCTAAGCAAAATATAAACAAGACCGAGTTTAACGTCCTTCAAGGACAGCGCATCCACACTTTGCTCCATCTTTATTCTGCTCTGTCACTCATCTACAACCTGCCTGTTCTGTCTGAGGGTCGTATATTTACCACAGGTACAGCCTGCTCTGAGCATCGTTATGCACATGCTGCGCACAGACCACGCAAATAAAACGTGTGACGTTTAAAGCATGCGTGCAGCGCGTGCATAACAGTCCTGAGCGCAAGCTGTACCGGTGGTCAATATGAATAAAGCGCAGATATGCTGTTCTAAATGGACGTTGGGAATGGGATATTGTTAGACCGCCCGCTCCCGTTCAAATTACACCAGAGTTACCGACCGTTACCGCGTTTTATTCGGGAATTAAATCCTGCGGCACAAAAAATCTGGTCGGGTCCTTTCCTTTCCGCGGTACTCATCGCTGTTGTAGGTTGCCAAGTTGAGGGGACAAATGGGTCGATTGTGTGAGAAGGATGCGTTTCATACAAGATCTGGCAACTGGGCAACCTTGGAATTTGTTGACTTGATTATTCATATAATGAGGTTTGGGCCATACAAATTACGGGAGTTTTACCGGAGGCGAATGTATAGCAAACATATAAAATACGCCCAGTGGGATTTTTTTACAGAAAGATAAAAAAAATACAGGAAAATATTTAAACGGGATGATAGCGGGATAGAAAGGTAAAATATGGGAGAATCCCGGGGAAAACGGGAGGGTTGACAGGTATGGAATGTTAATATAATTTTACTGTGTAGTGCTTGTAGCACTTTGTGAAATATTTGTTCTATTTTGTAACAAAGTTCATAGTTCAGGGAAGAAGCAGGTGGGAACCAGCAAACATTTAAACATAATTTAATAACAAAATAAACACAAAACTGAAAATAGCACGACAGCCCCTCACGGACGACTGCCGCACACAAACAAAACAACATAAAATCCAGGCCTAGTCCTCTCTCGTCCTTTACTGTCATTACTCCTCCTTTTATCCTTCCGGAGCTCCTCCGTGGGACTCGAGACGGTGAGAGGTGCAGGTGTCGCTCATTATCATTTACTCCACCGGCACAAACTTCAGATTTTTTATTATTACCCTCAAGTCATTCCAAACCAATGCGACTGTTAAACAGTTTTGGTTACCATTGCCTTCTATTGTATCCACAAAAACACAAAAATAAATTTCTCCAAATGTCTTCTTTTATGTTCCATAGAAAAAGGGTCACACTTTAGTTTTGGGACCAGTTCTCACTATTATTAACTATGACTTTTGCCTCAACTCCTAATTTGCACAAGGAATATGGAAATTACATTTAAAAAGCATTAAACAAAAACATTAAATATTTAAAAATAATAATTTTGGCTTTTGTAGGACAGAGTTGAGCATTAACATTTGCAAAATCCTAAGAATGTACTTCCATGTTCTGCAGTTGTAGTTTGGTTGAATATATGTGTGCTTATTTAGCACAAGTATTTATTTAGATAATTATTGATTTAAGTGTAATGTCTCTTGTGACATAAATGTTAATGTGAAGAATATATAATCTCTATTGGCGTTAATTAGTTATGCTTATGAATGTAGGCCTACATAAGTTATACTCTGTTATCTGTCATTGAAATTCGGGGATGTGGCATGCATAAACTGGACAAATTATGACATAGCACTAATATTTCAGATAGTTTGTCATACATTTAAGATTAAAGATGGTACTAATGGTATTAATAATTAATGTTTTAATAGTTGGTTTTATTGGATTTACAAAGTTGTATGCAACATGCAATTTGAGATTATGAAATGTTTTTAATTTAAGAGGTTGTATTCTAGAAGCATCAATAAATTTTTAATAAGATCTTCTCTAAATTACATTCTCAAGTGGGCCGTTCTCATGCATAATGGTAACTCAACTGCATCGTTTTAAATCTTGTCTCATCATTCTGTGTAAATTTTTTAACAGTTAAATCCTGTTTCATAACATATTTTTCTGGGGGGGGGGTTAGCATGAGAACATGTCCAGCACATTTCCAAAAGATCCAGTCAACATTGAGAATGTAAGTTGCAATGTACCGACGAGTATGTTGACTCCCATTTCACCTTTAACCTCAAGAGTAGGGCTGCACGATAAATTGAAATGGAATCGAAATCGCGATTCGACAGAAGCTGCGATTGTCATGCGCATCTTTCAGTGAAGCACGGTTCTGTGATCAGCAGTAAATCTCCATCCAAACGCCAGCGGGCGCTCTCGCGCTGAAGCTCCAAATACGCCTCGCAGAAGAAACCCAGGAAATGCCTATAGCGGTAGCTGGATAAACAGAAGATTTAACTGCTTTTATTGATTCAACGTGACTAATAAACACACGATTATGACAATATATGGTTTATTTCAGTTATTATTATTTTAATTTTCATTAAAATAAAGTATATTTATAATGCAATGCCTTTATCACTGCTTAAATACTATGAAATATGTTGCATGCCTTATTCTGTGTAAGAATCAACTCACAGAAGGATTTATATCAATCGTCTGCGATTTTTTTGCGTAACTTGTCAGTGAACTACGGCTGTGTAGTAAATGCTGCTCTGTCTGAAATCACGTGATGATGATTTACTGCTGATTACAGAACCGGCTTTACTAACTAAATGTGCATGACAATCACATTCGATTAATCGTGCAGCCCTACTCAAGAGTATCATGTGTGAGTAACTCTCACCATAGACATCTCACCCAAGTGATGACACGTGGTACCAGATTAAAGTTCCAAGCCATCTTTTTTGTTAGTTTGCTTGGTTTGCTGAAGTCTTGTGTTTTGAGGTCAGAACTGTCAATCTGAAGACGTCATGTTTAAATGAATACAGACGACAGAAATCCAGAAAAGAAAAACTAAACGGGATGACTTTGAAACAAAATCAAAAACATGTTTTTTGAGGAAGAGGGTTTGTCATGAAACCTGTCCATGTTAGTATCTGCATAATTTGGCTTTTGCAAAGTGACGGAGGGATTTGCACCAAAATACTGTGGAGTTTAATTGGGCCGCATGGCTTTTGATGCCAACAACAAAAGATATGGAAAGTGTTTTCTGCTTTCTCCTTAAGCATTTTTTTTAAAAATGTTGATAAGCCTATTTAATTAGCTGTCCTAAATGCATGATTATACAGTTAGTTGCTTTTTATTATTTGCATTTAACATTGTTTTTTTCTGTGCTGTTTTAGAACAGACCTATGGCCCATTTTTGGGTCACGACCCAGCAGCTGGGAACCACTGCTTTAAATATTAAATAGTTATTTTTTTGTTGCTTTTGACGGTATCTTTTGTGCACACCAGGGACTGCTGTAGTTTGTATGATTTGCAAGTGGTGTTTATAAAACCTTTTAGTATGACTTTCCCCAATATCTAACAAAAAATTAGATCTGAACCATTTATTGGTTTGTTTGTTTGTTTCTTTCTTTTTTTGTTTCCACTAGTCAGTTTGGAGTGTTATACGAGGAAAGATGGGTCGTTTCTTGACCATATATTTTTGCAAACTGCAAAAAAATAAATATTAATAAAATTATTAATAGTGATTCAGCTAATAAATCACATTCTTGGTCTATATGTTGAAAAAATGGAAGGGTGAGTTATACAGTGTCATCTACAAGTCGATGTATCAGAATGGTAATGCATTTTATGTTTATTGTTCTCTACAACGTCAGCTAAAAATGTGTTGCTAATGTAACACAAACCATGTTTCCATTTGCCATCTCAAACAGCTAATGATATGAAAAGCCCCACCCTGCAAATTGATGGGATTGGTTGCATATTTGTAATGGCAGGAAACAGGGGCTGTTTCAAACCGCATTTTTGAGATTGTCTTTGGTACACTGCAGTTCTAGGGCAAAAATACTCCGCAGTAGTGTTGACTGATGAATTTGCACATGGTTTGTCTCAAAGCATACTAAAACACCTGACAGATATGTAAACAACATTAAAAACTTGATTTTCTGCTTTCTTTCTGGTTTCAGATGCTACCTGTTGGATGGAATCTCAAAAGGAGCATGGTTGAATCGTTCCAGTATCATTTACGCAGGGAATGACAAGTGGTCAGGGGATCCTCGCGTGTCCATCGTATCAAATGTGGGGGATAAACATGAATACAGCTTACAGATACAGAAAGTGGATGTAACGGACGAGGGCTTGTACACCTGTTCGATACAAAGTGAACGTAATCTACGCCCAAAGCTCATTCAGTTAATTGTAAAAGGTGAGTGTTTCATCAACAACTGCTTATTTCATCATGGTTTGCCATGTTTTTTATTGATAAAAAAAACGAATTTAGTATTATATTAGCACCTAGTTTGGTTTTTAGTTGTGAGGAGGGTCTCTGAAGCTCTGAAGTATTCATTGCATCAACAGCATTTGTCCTCTTTACTGATCATATTTATTAATACTGATAATATAAATTTGTGTTTAAATCCATATCCACACTACTGCTTAAAGCTTCGAGCACTTTTTATACGTGTATATGTTTGCAGTCATACTGAAAATATGTATTGAATCTGTTAATAATGACTATGAAATCATCAAACGTTGGAAAAAACCTTTTTAATGTTTCATTATGTAAATAGGGATTCTAGCTCTACATGTGTGTGTCCCCCTTTTAAGGAATTGGAGTAAAGTCTGTGAATTAGCCTATAGGCTATAGATAGCAGTTGGAGTGCAGGATTGAGTATTATGTAACACAATTAAATACTGCCATGTTCAAGTGGATCTAGATATAAATTTTTATGGGGTTGGATTGTTATTTTCATATGTATTGATGAATTTTCTTAACAGTGGGCAAATAAGTCAAAAGTAACTGTAAATTGCAAAAATTCGAGTGTCTTTAGAGGAGTGACTCCATTTGTGGTTCAAATTTATGGAGGAAATAATTACATTTTTTCTCCATCTTTCTCAGCAGCATAATTACTGATAATGTCCATGTGGAATAACATTTTACATCATAGTAGTCCATGCACATGGCCACTCTGCAAAACTCATTTTTTATTGTGTTAAATGGGCATTGGTTAATATGGTATATTATAATTTTTTAGTGAGGAAAACATTAATTCTGCTGTTAGCTTTGCATATTTTTATTGGTCGTCTATTCTAATCAATATTTTTTAAACTCCTTGACTGAATGGTTATTATGAAAAGAATTCCACCAATGTTGTTCTTTGAACAAACCTCCGACTGCCAGCAAGAAATATTGGCATAAACATGTCTGCCTGATAATCTCCTCTTCTCAGTGAATATGCATAACCGTGAGGTCTGCTCTCAGAGCTTGTGTACATAAGCTTTATGTGTATGAAGAAAATAATCAGCTTTCGCTATAAACAGGCAATTAAAATAAATGACGTGTATTTGTGCATCTTGTTTTTCTGGAGAGTTAAAAAAATATATAAAAATTAGTTGGAGTTCTTCGATTCAGCTAGGAACATAAATTTAATGTACGTTTGTGTTCACATATATGTGTGCATGTACTGTAGTTTCCTAGCTGATTATCAGAACTCCAAATAGTTTTACATAATGTTTTAATTTCTCAAAAAAATTAACTTAAATGATTTTAGCAAATGGCTGCAGTATAACAAAGAGTGAAAAATTTAAGGGGGTCTGAATACTTTCCGTACCCACTGTATATATTTACATATTACTAATTATGTATTGACTTTTGACTTCTTTATTAATTCAGAACTATTTTACTAGCTTTTTCAATTTAGCCACCTATTATCTTGATATCAGCTCTGCACAATCTGGGCATTCTCTCAAGCAGTTTCATGAGGTGCCACCTGGGATGCTTTTTAAATTCTATTGAAGGAGTTCCTATGTATTGTGGTTCCCTTGTTGGCTGCTTTTCCTTTACTATCTGTTCCAACTTTTTTAAAAAAATTTTGCTCATTTAAATTGATGCAATTTTAGTTTCATAGGGAAATTCATATTTAGGCACAATATGTGTTTGCTGCAACACATACATAAAAACGTGATGATTTTAATGAATATTTCATTACTCTTTTGAGCTGTTATGTAGATATTTGTTTGGTCGCTGGCTTCATCTCACATCCTAGTCATTCCCAGATATTTTAATGATGGATATTTATCTAAATTCTCTGGTAGGCTTATATTGTGTATATTTCTTTTACAGGTTGGAGTATACAGTTGACACCTCAGTAGGAGGTGCTGACTCTCAGCAGTGGCAAATTTGCTATTTTCTATCTGCATAAATCCACTGTCTATAATTAACTAGAGAAGATCACTGCAAGCACCCTAACCTTCCCTGAGATAAAGCAAACTGATACAGGCCAATCATATCTGAAGATGTGTAGTTTTAGAGGCCGTAACCTGTAGCCCATCACCGAGTCTCTTCTGTGTAATTATAATCAACAAAATGAATGTCCTCCTTTTTCACTCTCTTAGCCAAAGGCTGTATCATGATCATGATGGATCTTTTGTCCTTAATAGAATCCATTACTTGCATGTATCTCTACATGATCTGGGATAATTAATAAGCACTGGTAAGAAAATATAAACGCACGGTTGGGGTAATGACAACAATTAAAAAGAGAGAGAACAAAAGCGACAGGAAACACATGATGAACAGCAGTCTTGTAATAGGAATCGGTGAGTGGTAAACTTAATCTTCTGCAGGATTGTATCAAAAATGAAATTGCTAGATTGACTCTTACAGTGGCACAAATCCTGGAGCGCCAAATCGTATGTAATACGATTAAAACGTCTTATTTGTCCTTTATGAAATTTGAACAGACTGTACTTGCGGACTCTTCGAGCTCTCTTGATGTATCCTGAACATTTGTGTGGACGAAACAGTTTTGCTAGGTCATTCTTTTTAGCCGACGGGTCAATACTGGGCATCATCCGAGAATGAGTGTGCTTGTTTGTTTTGTAGGGATCGAATGAGGATGGCCCACACACATTTTTCAGAGAATAATCACCTATCTTTTCCACCACTTAAATCTTAGCCTTGTTTACCAGACATACCATTTGTCATAGTCATCGGTGAGTCACCATCAAATAGAGCAGTTTGAGACCACCACATTATTCTTTTATATATGTGCTCAGTTAGTGAATGACAGATCAAATGTATTGCTATTCTGCACATAGGCCCTATATATTTAACTTAGCTAAATATTAGGAGTGATGGTCTGTTTGTCATCAGCAACCACTGTTTTGTTTATTGTGGAAGATAAACCAAAGAAATAAGGCAGCTTGACACTGCGCATATTACAATATTGTGGCAACAATGAAATTGAAAAAAAAAAGACTTTTCTGTTGTGGCATCTTTTGAAGTGAATGACTTCTGTGGATGAAGTTCAGTTATGAAACAGTGATTATCATGGCATATAGAGAGAGATAGCTCTACATTTCAAGGGCTTCTTTAACGTTGAACTTCCAAGTCTTTTGAAGTCATACAAAAGCTATTTGATGAACACACTGAAATTTTTTTTTTCAGTTTGTAAACATTGTGACGTTTTTTTTATGGGTGGAGCTTAGGTGGAGGCAGAAAGATTCCCATGACTGCTTCACTAACGCTAGCTAGCAAGTTTTGATTGCTTGTTTTTTAACAATGACTGGAGAAAATTAGATTTTATCTGAATATGTAATGTCGCTCACTGTCCGGGACCGCAATTGTTATTTGAAAATGTTAACTTTAAGGGAAGGAACCAGATTGGCAGACTCGTACACACTCACTCAATGGATTGACGATCTGACAGGAGTGGCCTGGCACACCTACCAGATAGAGACATCGAGCATGCATAGTAAATAGAAACTGAGGGCATATAAATCTTTAGGTGCTTATAACTATGTACTAACAGTGGCAATTGTAAGCATATGCACTTGAACACACACCTGACACATTTCAGGTTTATTTGACAGGGACAATGCACATCAATAATACATAAATGTACAATGTGCCAGAATTAGCCAGAAGGCTATTTTGCATCTGCAGTCCCTGGACTGATGGTAAAATTGTCACACTAAAAACATAAATAATTAATCAATACATAATACTTACATACTCCAAAATACATATAAGATTAACACTATTCCTAAAAAAAAACATCCGCTTAAAAGTTATACTATACACAGAACCAACAAATCAATACCATCATGCACACAATCCAACTGTCAAACAAAATGACAAACAATGTATCAGTAATATCATAATATCAATATACAGACAAAGATAATGTAAGCATACAGACAAGTAACAGTAGCCCTAATCATTCAATCAGTCCTAAACCAAACAATCTCATATACATAGCATAAACATGGGCCTTCACCGTTCACTCTCTTTCTACAATTGCCATAAGTGCAATTGTAGAAAGCGAGATGACACAACTTCCCCAATTTCTGATTAGGTGGGCATGCATGAGAAATCTTTAGACTTGTAACCAAACCATAATCCATAAAAGACAATAGTTTATTTAACCTTAGCTGATATTAAGTGTGCGCTGCAAACGCGAGCATTTTTGATGATCGTTTCTGTCCAGTCCTCTCGTTTTATTACAGCTGTCATCGTTTTTTTGTCTAGCAATGGCAGCAAGCAGGGGCGGATTAAGGTGGTCAGGGGCCCCTAGGCTGCTCATTGTGTGAGGCCCCCCCTTAATCATTATGCTTTCCTGGAGAAATTTATTTAGTGCCATACATGGTCCACATGCAAAAAGTGAACTGGCATACACACACATTGAGACTACAGTGTTTTCTCTACATTCCCAGTGTCCCCACATGATTTTGTGAGACTGTGATGGGTGCACATTGGTTCCTCTAGTCTAGGGGGTTCTGCGGGTATAAGAAAATGTTGTTAATTTTAAATTTAAATGCATACATCTTATAAAAACTACAAATGCCATTCTGTCAAGAGCAGGGAGTGATTTTTCTCCTCGTCTTTTGTTGTTTGATTATTATGTCGACACTTAACTCGAGACATGAGACGAGACACAAGATGTTTACACATTTTTAAAAAACATTCTCGATGACCAAGTACATGACTGGAATAATTAATTTAACTAATCATCTTGTAATAAATGTCATTTCAGTTCTACTTTGAGTATGAATTATCATATGCAGTAAAAACAACAACACTCAAGCACTGTAAAAGGTTTTGTTCAACTGATTAGCTTCTCTCCTGTAGGATTTCATGCAAGTCTCTTCAGACATTAGAACTGTACATGAATTATAAGCTTCTAGAACGTTTGACCTCCTAAC